CCCACATTTTACAACTTACTCGACATCACAGAATTCATATTACAGAGAAACTTTACCTATGTCCAGAATGTGGCAAAGCCTTTAATGAAAGCTCAGCCTTTACTCAACATCACAGAATTCATACTGGAGATAAACCTTAATATCATGAATGTGGCAAGTGCTTTAACCATAGCTCAGCCCGTACTCGATATCACAGAATTCATACTTGAGGGAAACCACGTCAAATCACAAATTTTCAAAACCTTTATAATCACTCAATCCTCACTAATCATCATAAAATTCATACTATATAGAAAACTTACCAGTGTACAGAAGGCAATAAAAGGGGCGCCTGTGTGGCTCAGTCGGTTAGGGCACTCACTTAGGCTCAGGTTATGATCCCAGGGTCCTGGGACCAAGCTCCTCATTGGACTCTCTGCTCAGTGGGCAGTGTGCTTCTCCCTCTCCCCCTGCCTGATCCTCCTCACTACTTGTGCTCTCTCTCCATCAAATAAATAAATAAAATCATGAAGAAAGAAAGAAAAAAAAGAATGTGAGAAAAATCAGTTAAGGAGTGCTCACCCATTCATGCCTATGAGAGAATTCATATCGGATGATAACTTCACAAATACAACCAGTGTGGCAAGGCCTTTGTCCAGCATGCACGGCTTCTAAACAGAGAAGTCATACTGGAAAGACACCAGATGAATAATGTGGCCAAACGTCTAGCAGGCACACAACCCTTACTCCCATCACAGAATTCACCCTGCAGAGAAAATTATGGATGTAATGAATGTGAGAGAGTGCCTATGGACAGCTCCCTCCTCACTCCATGTGAGAGATTTCATATAGGAGAGTAACTGTACAAATACTAAGAATGGGGATGCCTGGGTGGCTCAGTGGGTTAAAGCCTCTGCCTTCAGCTCAGGTCATGATCTCAGGGTCCTGGGATCAAGCCCCACATCGGGCCTTCTGCTCTGTGGTGAGCCTGCTTCCTCCTCTCCCTCTCTGCCTGCCTCTCTACCTATTGATGATCTCTGTCTGTCAAATAAATTTTAAAAATCTGAAAAAAAAAAATACTAAGAATGTGTCTGCCCTCTCAGTTGGGACTCCCAACTTTCTTAACATTGTAGTTTTCTTATAGGAGTAAAAGTGTGAAATGTAAAGCACATGGCCAAGCCTGTAACTGGAATTCAATGCTTACTCAATATCTCAAAATGCATATGAGCTTCAAACTCTTGGAACATCATGAATGTGGAAAGACCTTCATTTTGGTATACATTGGAGCAAATACCAGAGAGTGCATTACAAAAGTAAATTGAAAGATAGCAATGCTTTAAAACTAACTAAACATCAAATGCCAATAAATGTTACAGAAATCAAGCCAATGGAATAAATTATTCACTCTATTCAGAAATGAGTCTGTATGAAAATAGTCACATAAGGAGAAATCAAACACTTAGAAAAAGGTATGTGGTATTCTGTTGAATGGATTAGTGGATGGACTTTCACATATGTATAAGGGAATTCAATATTTTTTTTAAAGATTTTATTCATTTATTTGACAGACAGAGATCACAAGTAGGCAGAGAGGCAGACAGAGAGGAGGAGGAGAAGCAGGCTCCCTGCCAAGCAGAGAGCCCGATGCGGGGCTCAATCCCAGGACCCTGGGATCATGACCCAAGCCGAAGGCAGAGACTTTAACCCACTGAGCCACCCAGGCACCCTGGGAATTCAGTATTTTTTAAAAATTTCTTATATTGATCATATTTGAGATTCGTGACTAAGAATATTAATGTGTTTTCCTCTGAAATCACTCCAGAAAATTTCTCCTTTCCTCATGGGTGTGTAAGACCATGTTGTTGATTCTTGCTACGTTGAAGATATTAGATGTCCTGCTCCATTAAATGGGACTCATCTGTACCTAATTTTCCATGGAAGATGAACGTATGATCTACAACATATGAAGTACATCTCAGTGGAGATGGTGCTTACGATTATAACACTGATGTAAGATTCCATGGGATAGGTTTTCAGGGCACACACTTCTGCATGTATCGAAACTAAAGAACTTCCTCAATATTAGAAATAGGAGGTTTTCCTAATTGTTCTTTAAGGAAAAAGAGGTAGCCAACCAGTAAACTACGAAAGTATCTTCCTAAGTGCAGTCGTTAGATAGAGTATGACTTGATGTGGTTAAATGAGGAAATCCTGACAGATGACTGAAGGAGGGTAGCTAACTCTTCCCTACAATGCCATACCATTGAACATACACATTTCTGAGGAGTGTACCTCTGTCATGAAATTTTTGGAAATAGGTACTCCCACATCCTTCTTGCAACACTTGAATGCTTTTGCACATGCGTATTTTGTATTTCGAATGGTGACAATAGAGTGGATTTGAAAAACAAGTGTATGTGGAAACATAATATATTTTCATTAATAAAACACTTTTTTAACATATGGATATGGTTGTGTCGTGAATGATGTGTTATCCTACGTCTAGTGTTCATCTATCTCTTTGAAGGTTGTAGGGAGCTGATCGAATCAATCACCTGTTTGATACTGGAGTAGAACAATAATCCTAGGAATCCATTCAGTCATCTGAAAGTTTAAGGGATATGTGATTTTTCCCCTAGTCTATGCTGTGATTTTCTCCTCTTTGTGAATATAATATTACAGTGGATGTACTACCGAGGTATGTAAACGTAGAGATATTGTTGGTGTTTTAGCTCACGTACTCCATGATACTGCAACTTGGCATTGATTTTGTGTAGCCAGCAGTTTTGCAGGGCCCTTACACTAACAGGAGCCCTTTTCACTAGTGCATTCCCCAGTCAGCATACTTCAGGGTGACAAGTTAGTGGAACATCTCATATGACATCTGCACTCTGTCCTTGTAAGCCACCATCTCTCCTTTCTCCCAGTGTTTCCCTTCCTACTTCTTATAGAGAAGACTCCCCCTCCCACAGCACTTCCCTAAATCTGTTTTAGTCAGAATGGCATGTTCTGGACTTAGACTTGGGAATCTCTAGCACTGCACCATGGCCCTAAATGAAGGTATGTGCCCCATGTCCTACACTGATTGTTGTTTTGATGTGTCTATGAGGTACACATGTGAATATCACCATCCTATGTGTGTCATAGATACCCCATAGAAAAGAGAAATCTATCCCAATAGGAATGATGAGGTAGCCCAGGGAAGAGACAGAAAATATTTAAGCTGAAGAATTAGAATGTAGAGGAGGACAACTATCCCTAGTTGCCTGTGACTCCCTAGATGTAGAAAAATAACTTGTACTTGTTTTATGACCTACTTATCTTCAAATCTCCAGTTGTATTCACGGGCATTTTTCTTTCTACCTATGTAGGCACTACAACCATTCTTTTTTGCCTATATTATTGATACGGTGTCCTCAGAAAATGCTTAATTGAGATTAGACCGATGGAAAGCAAATGGGTATTAATGCAGACATTAATGCAGACAATGTGGGATGTGAATCTAAGTAAAATTTGAGGAAGGTACCATCCTTCAAGAGAAAGACATGACCTATTAAAAGGAAATGTGAGGAACTCTTATCCACATTGGGAGGGACCTGGAGGTGGCTCCCTTTAGTCACTGCAAAGGCACAAGGAGCTCTTTCTGGTGTCATCTGATGAATATATGTTATGGGGAAAAGAAATGGAAAATGTGGGTTTCTCAGGAGTAGGGAAGTCCTGCTTTATCCTGATGATTTGGTCGATGTCCTGTGTCTTCCTGAGGACTAATGCTGTTGGATGTCAGTGATTACTCTACTTCCCCTGGCTAGATTCATGACAAGGGATGGGGGAGGGTGTTGGATGATGCAATCATGTGGGCATCTTTAAGATGTCACGTGGTAGAATAGTTGTTTGAACTGAAGAAGACTTCTGGGCAGTGGCGTAGGCCGGATCAGCAAGGCATGTGCTGTGGTTGCTTCCAAGCCCTGTTTCCCAGGTAGTTAACCCCAGTCAAGGTCAGATCCGGTGTGGTTGGGTGATCATCAGGGAAGCTGCTTCACTACTGTGTGGGACCTGCCTCCCTTTTCTCAGAGCCATGATCGGTGTAGTTCTAGGGGCGCCTGGGTAGCTCAGTCATTAAGTGTCTGCCCAAGGCTCAGGTCATGAGCCCTGCATGGGGCTCCCTGCTCAGCAGGAAGCCTGCTTCTCCCTCTCTCACTCCCCTTAATTGTGTTCCCACTCTGTCTCTGTCTGTCTCTGTCGAATAAATAAAATGTTAAAAAAATAATTTTAAAAAATATAAAGAAATTGGTGGAAACATTTATAGTCTATTACGGTCTGCAAGAGACCACACCCTTGAGCGGGAAGTATATAAACAGGAAAAGTGTAGCTCTTAGGGGCTCTGGGGGCGGGTCAGTTAAGGGTCTCACTTTGACTCAGGTCATGATGTTAGGTTCCCAGCACAGCCCTGCAGTGGGCTCCCTGCTCAGTGGTGACTTGGTTTGTCTCTCTTCCTCTGCCCATCACAACCCACAAGCAGGAGTGCCTCTCTCAGTCTCTCAAATAAAATATTAAAAAAATTAAAGTGTAGCTCTTTTTCAGCAGAAGTCCCACCCACGTGCTACTTCAGTCAACTTACTACGTTGCACCATAAGATATTACAGAAGTTCTTCCTGACCAATGTGCTGAAGGATCCGACAATTTTCTGACCCAGAAACCCAAGCTGGCTGTTACCCTTTGAAAAGGCAATGCATACAGGATGAGTTTTGATGGGAATGGAATATCAGCATTATTCAGGAAGCGAGCCACTTGGAAAGAAGAAAGACTCATGTTCAAAAATCAACTCCAGGGGCGCTTGGGTGGCTCAGTGGGTTAAGCCTTTGCCTTCAGCTCGGGTAATGATCTCAGGGTCCTAGGATCAAGTCCCGCATCTGGCTCTTTGCTCAGCAGGGAGCCTGCTTCCTCATCTCTCTCTCTGCCTGCCTCTCTGCCAACTTATGATCTCTATCTGTCAAATAAATAAAA